GGTTGGAAAAGTGGGGGTCGTCTTGTACATGGGGGCGTCTTATTGTCAGAAAAATATGGTAATTATTCTGTTGAATAATTCTTAATTTATGAGGCAGAAAACAGAGTCAAAGCTTTTCGCAAAGAAAGGGGTAGTTTGTAGTTGTTTCAGTTATTTTTAGATCACAAGAGAGCACAAGCTCCATTTGGAATTATCTAGAAGAGGATGGAGTATATTTTGAGAAGTAACTATTTTGATCTGGGGAGCACCCTGAAAATTATGGGGATAGAGGGGGAAAGGGGAATCATTCAGTTATGTGTCAGCATTAGAAATGCGAAATAAAGGTATCTATGGATATGCCCATATTTTAACTTATAACATTCTTTATGAGTCCTTTATACATAAGCATAACCATGAATTATCTAGTTATTATTTCCTTATGTTAGTAGATACTTTTGTCACAGCTTTATGTATATTTCTCTAATCACAGCCTAGTGTAATTAATTAATCTAGAGGATTTCCCTCCCTTTTTCTCTTGTTTTAGAACCAAAAGATAATTTTGCTTATCGGAACATAATTCCATGGATTGGTATGTATATTCCAGGTTTCCATGATGAAGAACAATTTGTCAGTTGGACAGATAAAACAGTAGAGATCTATAGCCTAAAATGTTTGGCATAGCTTCTTTATAACTAAAGAAGGACAATCTTTACCTGTATTTTGTTTATTTACTTTAATTTCCAATTGCTTCAACTTCCCTGGGAATTTATATTGATATATATTTTAGAATATAAAATGTAACAAAATACATTATAATGGAGAACTGAATCCATATGCTATTTAATATAGTACTTATTATTTCTGAAAAATATACATGAAATCTGATGGGTGTTCTCCAATAATAAAATTCCAAATAGGTTGTATAAGCATATATTTCAGTATTATATTAGAAATTGAGATTCTGCATAGAGGTCTTGATTTTAGCAAGTCTTTCATTTGTGGGTGAAAAAAAAAACTTTTGGTAGGTTATTTTCAGTTGATTGTTATGGACAATGTATTAACTTGCCTTGTTCATAACAATCAAAACTTGCATCTAAAGGAAGTCAGAATCAGCAAGTTGGTGGACAGAGAATTGTATACACCAGAAGGGGCAATGCTTGCATTGCAATATTCCAGTCCATCCATTGTGCCAATTCTAACACACACACTCTTGTGGGTGCCACTGATTGGCTGAGTGAAACTACACCTTCAAATTTATTTATCCTGATAGTTTGTGTGTAATGCATTCCTCTATTGACTACTGAAGCCCTGGAATGAAACTTGATAATACACTAAATGCTCGTTGTCAGTCTCCTTGTCCTACCTTGAAGATGCTCTAGTCATAGGTACCCACTGGTGAGACCGGCTGAAGCTAGTCCAAGGTGTTCCATTCTAAAAGTACTGTTTTCCCTGGGAAAGCAGAAAAAAGCATCTCACGCAGATGTTCAAGGAGGAGGAATCTTTGGAGGTCAGTGACTTGCTAAGCTCCAGTTTTCCACTGCCGTGCCACCCCCTACCATCTGGTCACTGGGCTCTGGGCTCCTAGCATAAAGACCTATGGATTGTGGGAGAAACGTCCAATGGTTTGGTTCTAATCCCTGCCTTCCCTGCCTCTTCTCCTTCCTTCAATCAGTGTATTTAATACTCACCAGTGGGCCTCCATGATTCTGATGATGATGATTTTAAGTACTGGCTTTTGCAAAAGAATCTTCTTCAAATACCTTTTCCCTCCGTGATCCTCGGCCTCTCTTGAGGAGCCACTCTGCAAAAACAACACCTGCAAATTTGCTGCCCATTCTCTGAGGGCAGCTTTCCTCCTCTCAAGGATGGAAGGGAAATCCATCAACAAGCCTGCGTGGATGAGCCATTAGAGCACAATTCTGTCTCTCAAGTTTTAACTAATATGCAGTACAATATTTCTGATGCTGATCAACTGATGTATAGCAATCATAGAATGAATGCGTTAAGAGGAATCTTATCAGCCATCCAGCCCAACTCCCTGCTCAGCGTAGGAACCCATTAAACCATACTGGACACACATCAACCCATCCCATCCCTTGTTTGAAAACCTCCCATAAAGAAACAGGCAAAGGAGAAAACATTTGTAAGGCAAGGAATACGTCTGAGGAAAATGCCCATCAAGAATGCTCAGATTAGCCAGTCAGCTACCAGATAACCTAGAAATGCAAACGTGAGTCACAGAAAGGCACAGAGAGTAAGAACTTCTGATCCCTACATTACATAATGTATCTCAGTTTACGGTTACAGTAAATGTTCTGCTATAGCCTCAGTTGAAATGGAGTTTGAAATTTTAGTTCTCTCTCATTTCTTTGTGCATACATCAGGTGCTTAGAACACCATTTACCTGGTTTTGAAAATAATGAAATTGTTATGGAAATGAAGTTTTGTTGCTGCTGAAAACTATAGGAGATGATTCTATCTAAATGTAACAAGATTTGTACAGAGCTGTTTGATGTGAAGTGTCTGTGTTCCTTCAGGGAAAGGTTTATTGGTCCTGCATGGACCAAAATGGGCACAGCATAGAAAGCTGCTAACGCCAGGTTTCCACTTCAGTGTGTTAAAGCCATATGTGTCCCTGATTGCAGACTCTGCAAAAGTGATGTTGGTAAGTGTTAATAATTGATTTATTAAAAGTTTTTCAGTGAATGGTTTACCAGCAGCTGAAATGCGGGGGGGGGGGGGGGTGCACGTGCAAGTATTTGGCTTCCACTAGAACAGCATTTCCCAATCTTAGTAATTTCAAGGTATGTGGACTTCAACCTTCCCAATATCCCCCCCCCACCCAGCTGGTTGGGGGGGTTTGGGTTGAGGAATGGGCCC